GAGTGAAGGACACGGACGGGGCAGTGCTGCGTCGCAAAGAGATTAATTGTCGTTGTTAAGTGCAACGCGACTGAGTGTGGCCGCTGATGTGGAACTAGGTTGATAGGATTAACAATCAGATGATTAGTGAAAGTGGAATTGCGCACCAGAACTGATAAAAATTCAATAACCACGGGAATCGTGGTGGCGCGATGGACTCGTGGTCATATTCCGCTTGGTATAATATAACCAGTGGGCAGTACTGTACTGGGGGACATCCGGGCAAAGTTGAGAAGGGTTAGCTGAAAAGACTGAACTGGCCTGACGAACATCAATCAACGCGTCGTGCGTTCAGTACCCGTGAGACGTTATTCGTACAGGCTGGGGGTGGACCCCGGCGAATTCATCGGCCGTTACGTTGGGGCCAGAGGAAGTTTGGTTCGCTCGAGGATGGGCGAATTCGCCTGGGCGGAGCTTCGGGGCGACCGAAAGATTGCCGAAGACACCGCCGCCCGTTGCACGACGGCCCTCGGTCGTCTCTAGAGGAAGCAAGGTGTTTTTAAAACCATTAAGGTAGCGTTGACCGTGCCGCTTGTTTCCAAGGCCTGCGCATTGCGATTTTGTAAATACTATTTGTAAAGTGTGTTTCTGATGCATTAAAATATTTTAAATGTGCAAAAGATTGATAACGATTATCTCCTACTGCTGCGCCTAATTTCCTGGAGACCCATTCACGAAAATGTACTGTTCCCTTGGGCAATATTAATTTGTCGTGAAAGTACCGCTTTCCCAGTACGTTCACTATATATATTATATATATATATATTATATATATATATATATGTTTGTGTGTGTGTGTCGTGTTGTGTGTTGTGTGTGAAGAAAATACATTTTCTTTATTCTGATCATGGTCGTGAAAATCCCACCTTTGGCGGCCTTGGTTACGAGTGGTTTGCGCGGGTTGAAAACTAAGGACGCGCCAGAGGGAAAATGAGTGGGACCGATTGGTTGAAAAAGATTGAAATCTAAGTTATTAAAGTAAGTGTATAGCAGAGGAAAGCGGTTAGTTAGCTTTAATTGTCGTTTCTGTTTAATAAGTTAAGTATACATTCTGTTTTATGTCAAATATCTTTGGTAAATATTAATGTTAATTAGTCTTTGTGAATTGATGGATCATAAAAAGGAATAAAACTCTGTTTATAGGGAAAAATTTAGCTTATGCACTAACTAACATAAACAACATTCTAGTCTTATATATATACTATTTCGGTTTTAATTTCTTTGAGGAGTAACGAGTGGCGAAACAGGATTGGGTTAATACGAAGCACGAGTTGCGACGCATCACTAGCGTCTGACCGAGTTTTAGCGTTGGAATGTGAGATTATAATATCTACATCCCGTTTAAAAGTGAGACATGCGGAATGATAAAGGAGAAAAGACACTAGAAACAAAATTTTCTAAAAAGACGTTTTTTGACAAAATATTCTATAAATGAATTGCTAATACAAGTAACAGAGCAATGCTACCAACACTTCCCAAGTATTTGCACAGCTACCTAGAGATCGGCTTTGGTTAATACGACAAGAATTACGAATTATTTAGAGACTTTTTTATTTTCTGAAAAAAAACATTTGGCGCATAGCTCTCTTGGCATTGCTAAGCGAAAATTGGGTGTAGTAACACTTTTATTAAAGCTGTTTCCTTGTAATATAACAATAAATAATATTTCTGTAAGGAACACTTTCAATTCGTAAGAAAAGTGCGCATAACCTCGGAGCTATTTATGGATTTCAGACCAGTCGCGCAAATGCATTTATTAGAATTGATAAATATATCGCAAAGTTGCGAAGAATTACAAAACGACAAAGGTGTGATACAAGATTATATTGAAAAATACAATCAATGTAAAGACGAAAAGTAAGAATATATGCTGCTCCAACCACGAAGAAGAACGGAAGAGCACTGCCAGCCTCCGCAATTCCTGGCTAAGGCACAGTAAGGATGAAGCCGTGGTCTAAAGAGAATATTAAGCTCTGGTTCCTAAAAGATGTGAATGATTCGAACCCACACTTAATAATAAAAACATCTACTCAGGAACCGTGATAGTTGAAAAAACAATACAATACATTGTTGCTACAGGAGGACACCGTCAGGTTTGGGCGAGGCTTGTCTAAGGCGCTTAATGAAGCATCGGTTCTGAAGGGAACAGTAGATTCTACCCCCAAACCAAGACATTCATTTTGAATGGCCCGCTTGTTGAACGGAAAAAGAACTGAGTGTGTAGGACTTAGCAAATAAGGTCAGGTTGGCCGAACGGTCTAAGGCGCCAGATTCAGCTCTGGTTACGCGAAGGGGAGCGTGGGTTCAGACCGCCACCCCTGACATTCCTTTTGTATGTTGCACGCTGTTGAAGGGGAAAATGTCCTGAGTGTATACGCTCAGTGTCTGGTTAGGTTGGGCCGAGCGGTTCCTAAGGCGCAAGATTTAACTCATGGTTCCCGAAAGGGAGCGCGTGTAAATAAATAATAAAATAATAAGATAATAATAATAAATATTAATAATTAAAAATAATTAAAAAATTAATTAATCAAAAAAAATAATAAAAAAAAATAATAATAATAATAAATAATTTGATACAATTGGCTGTTGCAGTGGTAGCCACAACCTACGTTCTACAATACTATGAACATTTATAATACAAAAACAATTGCCATCTATACATAATATCAATAAAATTAACCAGTTACAGCAATTTGTTTTTTAAATATAAACACAATGTGGATTTTAAAGTTAGCTCTTTAAGGCAGTTCGATTTGCTCCCCACCTACTGTCGCAGCTTCAACCTCATTTCACTTCATTACACTCCACTAACTACACTTTTCACTAACACTTTCTTTGGTTATGCATATAACTAATTAAAGTAGTTTTCCACTGCATCTGAACTACACTACACTTTATCTATAAAATCTACAAATTGTGTATTCCTGAGCTGTGCGGTAAATTACAGCCTACAAAGTACTTATTAAGCTTCGTCTCTAAAAACACCAACAGAAGCAGGAAAAGCTCTACGCCGCTCGCAGGGATTTCAATTCCAATTTTTAACCGTACGATTTACAAATGAATATTTCCCTACGTCCGGATCTCTGACATCTAACTTTTATTTGCATTTGGATTCGTTTCTCCAACTCTTGGAGGGGAGTCTAGTCTTTTCGTTATTTCTGCCCATTGCAGGTTGACTTACTGTACGCTCCTTGAGAGGCAGCACAATCTGGCTTTTTATCCTTCTGACTACTTGAGAAACTGAGACAGCTGTTCGAACCCCACACCTTGAATTCATTTTGTATGTGTCACGCTGGTTGAAGGGGAAATGTGCCTGAGTGTTGTAATAATCAGCGTCAGGGGTCAGGTTGGCCGAGCGGTCTAAAGGGCCAGATTTAAGCTCTGGTTCCAAAACGGGAGCATGGGGTCCTAACACTCACACCTGACATTTAATTTGAATGTGCACGCTGTTTGAAGGGTAATGTCTTGAGTGTGTAAGTGATCAGCCCGTCAGGGTCCAGGTTGGCCGAGCGGTCTACAGGCGCCAGATTTAAGCTCTGTTCCCGAAGGGCGCGCGAGGCCTCTCCGCGCACTACTCTAACCGTCGCTCGCCTCGCCGTTTACCCCCCGATTTGACCGTTGGAGGCGGCGGCGGCGGCGTTAATTAATGCGTTGCTCAACTCCAGTACTTTATTTTAATTATAATTTGTGATCAATTTTAATTGTTGTAATACAGAAACGTTCTTCGTTTCAATATATATGTATATATATATAACAGCGATACACTGACCTGTATAGGGTTTTAATATATATATATATATATATATATATATATATATATATATTAAAACCCTATACAGGTCAGTGTATCGCTTTTTATATCAGAGTTTCTCACCCATTCTCCCTAATGGTTGTATGTGTAATATATAATGCGTATGTGCGTATGTATATGTGTAATGTGTAGTGCGTATGTGTAATGGTATGTTGCGTCTCATATGCCGTTTACGAGGCGGTATACATCAGTCGCTGTGCTGATGTGCAATAAACCGCGTATCTACTATAATATGCTTCAATTATTTTCAATATTTGCACGTAATTTCATTCGTGAATAGTATTCTTAAATATCTCCTCGCATCACGAGTCGGGCATTTATCGACACTTTTCAAAGCACTCAAGGTATTACAAACGAGTATTGCCCTTGTGAAATTATAACCAATAGTGTTTACCTAAATATGCATAATGCCTTAGTCAGGACGGTGTATCTCAAGAAGTGTATCGCTTTTTTCATCCGATTTTTCTTACCGCTTCTACCTACTGGCCAATCATAAACTACGACTTATCTTAGGAGGCGGTATACATCGATCGCTATGGCGACGTCCAAAAAACGGCGTATGAACTATAACATAACCTCTGAGTTTTAGGTACGCTGTCAGTTATTTTCAATATTTGGTTCATTTGGACTGTTGGATAATTTCTCTCGTGGAATAGTCCTAGTAAAATACCAGCCGTTCTTTGCATATTCTCAGATAAATCCCCCAGCGCACTCGTGCTATCTATGAAAATGCCTGGCGTTGCACAGGGCCCGGAGGAGCCGCGGAAGGGGCGGCGTGTGTCGTTCAGCGAGTGTCCACCTCAGCGCGCTGTGTACGAGGCCGCGGCCTCTGCCGCCGCCGCCTCCGCCGCCCCCACCGCCGCCCCCGCACCGCTCGACCCGGCCGCCCGCGCAATCAAGGTACGTATTGCTAACGTCGCCTTTGCATTTACGCTATGGGGAGTCAACTACAGACCCCTAGGAACACGATATAATGTTCTTAGAGGGTGAATGTAAGAACAGAAACCCAACCATGCCCAAAGCGGGACTCGAACCCGTGATCCTTCAGTCCGAGATCGCTACGGCCTGAACGATGTCGGTCATTCAGACGACATCAAATGCAATTGAAGAAAAGATTTTCGTGACTAATGATCCATATATTAAGAATATATTGTAATCAATTTGTGCAGGTTTGTTCCATTGTAACATAAAAGAGCACTGGTGTCGTAGGTTACTCCCCCCGGTCTCTTTGGTTAGGCAAATGTTTAAGTGTGGTACTAGTGCTACTTCCACTTTCTCGCCATACTAGTAGTACAGTATAACTATTTCGTAGTAAAGAGAAAGTATTGTACTTCCGGGGCGAAAAAAAGAGATTTGTTCCTGTTCTTCATGTTTGGAAACGTGTTCTTCTTCGTATGAGTTGTAAATTACTTTCTGCAACAGAAATGTGCTGTTCTGTCGAGATGCATTCCGGTGGCAGGGGCTGTGGCGCGGGGAGAAACAGCCCATGAAAGTTATAAATGTTATAAATAATGCGTGAAAGTATGTGCTGTTCTGTCTCTAGTTGACTTTGTTCGTTTGATACATTCCAGGAACAGGGGATGATGCACAGGAAGAAACAGCGTATGCGAAGTGTAAAAGTTAGAAACAAAGCGAGAAAGTATGTTCTATTCTGTTCAGTTGAATTTGTTTGTGTGATGCATTCCAGAGGTAGGGTCTGATGCACGGGGAGAAACAGCATATGCAAATTGTAAAACATAAAAATTATGCGAGAAAGTATGTGTTGTTCCGTCTTGAGTTGAATTTGTTCGTTTAATGCATTGCAGAAGCAGATGTTGGGCATGCGAGAAAGTATGTACTGTAAAGTCTGGTTGAATTTATTCCAGTAGCATGGTCTGATGCACAGGAAAAAACCGCTTGCAAATTGTATAAGATAGAAACAATGCGAGAAATATGTGCTATTCTGTCTAGTTGAATTTGTTCGTTTGATGTATTCCATGAGCAGGGGCTGATGCACGGAGAGAGGCAACGCATGCAAATTGTTAAAGTTAGAAACAATGTGAAAAAGTGCGTGCTGTTCTATGCGCTGCAGGAGCAGTGGCTGATGCACAGGGAGAAACTGCGCTTGCAAATTGTATAAGATAGATATTATGCGAGAAAGTGTGTGCTGCCACAATGTGAGAAATAAGTGCTATTCTGTCTAGTTAAATTTCTTCGTTTGATGTATTCCAGGAGAAGGAGCTGATGCACGGGTAGAAGCAGTGCATGCAAATTGTTAAAGTTAGAAACAATGTGAAAAAGTGTGTGCTGTTCTCTCTCTAGTTGAATTTTGAATTCAACTGAATTGAATTTGCCTTATTTTACGTGGCGAGACTCGGGCCATCAGGCCCGCTCTTCCGTCTGCCCACGCAAATTTCGCTACGCTCCTTTCACCAACTAGGAGAGAAAGGAGGTATTTTTTGGGCGAGAAACAGGCGATTTGAATTTAGCTCAGAGGCGTCATTTAGGCTTGAGGATCTTTTATATGCAAGTAAATCTACGAACATGGGACAGCCGGCTTTACTTCCCCTCCGAAGGAAGGCGTACGAAGGATTTTTTCGCCCTTAAAAATCCACGGCTTCGATTGGGTTTGAACCCCCTTCGATTGGGTTTGAATTTGTCCGTGTGATGCGCTCCAGGAGCAGGGGCTTGGGCGTGGAAGGGCAGCGCATGCAAATTGTAAAAGTTAAAAACAATGTGAAACAGTGTGTGCTGTTCTATGCGCATCCAGGAGCAGGGGCTGGGGCGCGGTGAGAAGTGGCGCATCCTGCGCAACGTGGTGCTCATCTCGGCCGCTTTCATGCTGGCCTTCACCGCCTTCTTCGGCGCCGCCAACCTGCAGAGCTCCGTCAACGCCGACCAGGGCCTCGGCACCGTCTCACTCACCGCCGCCTACGCCGCGCTCATCGTCTCCAACCTCTTCCTCCCGTCCATCGTCATCCGGTGAGTGCACGTTTCCAGGTGGGGAGCGTTGATCCACAGATTAGTCATCCCTGCACCGCGCTCATCGTCTCCAACCTCTTCCTCCCGTCCATCGTCATCCGGTGAGTGCGCATCCGCAGGGGAGGGAATTGATTCATAGATTAGTCATCCCTGCGCCGCTCTCATCGTCTCCAACCTCTTGCTTCCGTCCATCGTCATCCGGTGAGTGCGCGTTTCCAGGCGGGGCCTTGATCCACTGATTAGTCACTCCGGGTGAGACAACTGCTCAGGTCTTTTAGTGCCATTAGTGTAGTGCAAGTTTTTTCATTTTAATACAATTTATTTTTCCCTCTTCGTGCCGGTGCGTGCAACAGGCTCCCATGTCGTCACACCCGCTGGCCTGACCACGTCCCGCCCGGACCTACGTCACCGGTAGCACACTCATAACGCATTAACGTCCGGCAGAAGTCACAAATCTTTGTTGCCATATTACGTAATTATGTTCAATAATTTACTAATTATCTCTAGATATTTCCAAATATACTGTTAATAGTAAGCATATGGCCGCAAGGAAAAGTGCTAACCTAAGTAGAATGTTCAGTTCCTTCAACAAGTGACACCCTTGGGAGAATCTTCTTCTCTTTTATATATA